ATGGTGAAAAACTGAAAGCATTTCCTCTATGATCAGGAACAAGACAAGGATGTCCACTCTCACCACTATTATTCAACATAGTTGTGGAAGTCCTAGCCATGGCAATCAGAGAAGAAAAATAAATAAAAGGAATAAAATTGGAAAAGAAGAAGTAAAACTGTCACTGTTTGCAGATGACATGATACTATATATAGAGAATCCTAAAGATGCCACCAGAAAACTACTAGAGCTAATCAATGAATTTGGTAAAGTAGCAGGATACAAAATTAATGCACAGAAATCTCTTGCATTCCTATACACTAATGATGAAAAATCTGAAAGGGAAATTAAGGAAACACTCCCATTTACCACTGCAACAAAAAAATTAAAATACATAAGAATAAACTTACCTAGGGAGACAGAAGATCTGTATGCAGAAAACTATAAACACTGATGAAAGAAATTAAACATGATACCAACAGATGGAGAGATATACCATGTTCTTGGATTGGAAGAATCAATACTGTGAAAATGACTATACTACCCAAAGCAATCTACAGATTCAATGCAATCCCTATCAAATTACCAATAGCATTTTTTACGGAACTAGAACAAAAAATCTTAAAATTTGTATGGAGACACAAAAGACCCTGAATAGCCAAAGCATTCTTGAGGGAAAAAAACAGAGCTGGAAGAATCAGACTCCCTGACTTCAGACTATATTACAAAGCTACAGTAATGAAGACAATATGGTACTAGCACAAAAACAGAAACATAGATCAATGGAACAAGATAGAAAGCCCAGAGATAAACCCACACACCTACGGTCAACTAATCTAAGACAAAGGAGGCAAGGATATACAAGGGAGAAAAGACAGTCTGTTCAATAAGTGGTGCTGGGAAAACTGGACAGCTACATGTAAAAGAATGAAATTAGGACAGTCCCTAACACCATACACAAAAATAGACTCAAAATCGATCAGAGGCCTAAATGTAAGACCGACATTCTAAAACTCTTAGAGGAAAACACAGGAAGAACACTCTTTGACATAAATCACAGCAAGATCTTTTTGGATCTGCCTCCTAGAGTAATGGAAATAAAAACAAAAATAAACAAATGGGACCTAATGAAACTTCAAAGCTTTTGCACAGCAAAGGAAACCATAAACAAGACAAAAATACAACCCACAGAATGAGAGAAAATACTTGCAAACGAATCAACGGACAAAGGATTTATCTCCAAAATATATAAACAGCTCATGCAGCTCAATTTTAAAGAAACAAACAACCCAATCCAAAAATTGGCAGAAGACCTAAACAGACATTTCTCCAAAGAAGACATACAGATGGCCAAGAAGCACATGAAAAGCTGCTCAACATCACTAATTATTAGAGAAATGCAAATCAAAACTACAATGAGGTATCACCTCACACCAGTTAGAATGGGCATCATCAGAAAATCTACAAACAACAAATGCTGGAGAGGGTGTGGAGAAAAGGGAACCCTCTTGTAGTGTTGGTGGGAATGTAAATTGACATAGCCACTATGGAGAACAGTATGGAGGTTCCTTAAAAAACTAAAAATAGAATTACCATATGATCCAGCAATCCCACTACTAGGCATATACCCTGATAAAACCATCATTCAAAAAGACACATGTACCCCAATGTTCATTGCAGCACTATTTACAATAGCTAGGTCATGGAAGCAACCTAAATGCCCATCGACAGACGAATGGATAAAGAAGATGTGGTATATATATACTATGGAATATTACTCAGCCATAAAAAGGAACAAAATTGGGTCATTTGTTGAGACGTGGATGGATCTAGAGACCGTCATACCGAGTGAAGCACGTCAGAAAGAAAAAAACAAATATCATATATTAATGCATGTATGTGGAACCTAGAAAAATGGTACAGATGAAGTGGTTTGCAGGGCAGAAGTTGAGACACAGATATAGAGAATAAACGTATGGACACCAAGGGGGGAAGCCGCAGGGGGATGGGGGTGGGGTTGGGGGGGTGATGAATTGGGCGATTGGGACTGACATGTATACACTGATGTGTATAAAACTGATGAGTAATAAGAACCTGCTGTATAAAAAGTAAATAAAATTAAATTTAAAAATTTTAAAAAAAGAAAGCTGTAAATAGTCTCCTCAAAATAAATAAATAAATAAAATAATTTTATTTTCTATGGAAACTCTGCAATAGAAGAAAAATATACTGACCAGTCCACACTGCTTATCTACAGTATTGTAAATACAGTCATGAACTTTAATTCTAGATTTCCAATCTTTTGATTTAAGTTGGAATTAGTATCCCAAATCATGATTATCAATGAGTGAACTGATAAAACCAAGCTTCTGGCTCTAAAATGTGACCCTATCCACATCCCTCTCCTAGCCATGCATAGTAGTAAACTATTTCCTCCTCCATACTACTTCTGCATCTTATCCTTACTTCCGCTGTGACATTATCAGTTTATTTGTGTGTGTGGCTACAAAGCATGCAGCAGTATTCAATACATGTTTGTTGAAGAAAAATAAATCTTTCTTATTCAGTAAAATTATCTCAACAAACCAGACTCATACTTGTACCTGAAGAATAAAAAGATCCTATCAAGAATGTAAAGCCGGGCTTCCCTGGTGGCGCAGTGGTTGAGAGTCCACCTGCCGATGCAGGGGACACAGGTTCGTGCCCCAGTCCGGAAAGATCCCACATGCCGCGGAGCGGCTAGGCCCGTGAGCCATGGCCGATGAGCCTGCGCGTCCGGAGCCTGTGCTCCGCAACGGGAGGGGCCACAACAGTGAGAGGCCCGCGTACCACAAAGGGAAAAAAAAAAAAAAAAGAATGAAAAGCCAACTCCAAAGAGTAAGAACAAGCTTTAAACAACTGTTATCCATTGTATAAACATACTGATTAAGCCTTCTGCTGGCTGCTAGGATTACAGAAATATAAGAAAGACGCACAGCCTAGACCAAGTGTTGGCAAACTATAGCCCATGAGCCACATTAGCCTGTTGGTTTTGCAAATAAAGTTTTACTGGAACACAGCCACAATCACTGTTTACATATCGTGAACTGCTGTTTTCACATTACTACAGCAAAACTGAGCACCTGTGACATAAGACTGGTCCATAAACCCTGTAACATTTATTATCTGGCCCCGTGCAGAAGAAGTTTGCCAACTCCTGGCCTAGCAGGAATTCAAAGTCCATGCAGATCTGAGAGCCAATGGTTTGAATATCCCTGGGGGAACAAAGGGAGGACGTCATCAAGCCTCCTAGATGAAATAGTTAGCTGAAACTCAAGTGAAGACTGGGAAGCAACCTGACACACAAGTAAGAGAGAATGTTTCAGGTAGAGTAAATTATGTGGGAAAAGGGCTGGAGGGAAAAGGATACAGAGCATGTTTCAGTAACTGCAAGAGTTTAGTATTGTTAGAATGTAGTGTACAAAGTGATGAAAGACAAGGCTGGAGAAAAGGGCATTATAAGCTGCATTTGCCAAGGTGAGGAGTTTGTATTTTTTAAACAAATACATCACTTTATGCTTATACTTGCCAGGAAAATCAAAATCAAACAAACACAAACACACACAAAAAACCCCACCTCTGGAAGAATATACAAGAAACTAATAAGAAGAAGTTACAGAGGGAAAAGGGGTACTGAACACAGGACAGATAAAACTGGGGTCAGAGAGACTTTACTAAATACCTTTTTAAATTTCTTGTTTTTTAAATCACATGAATGCATTATCTATTCTAAAATCACATATTAATAAGTGTGGATTTTGTCATAAAGGAAATATTTAAGGAATTTAAATGAGAAGTGATAAGATTAAACAAGCAAACTGGATAGATTATTCTGTACATGCAACACAAAGGAAAGCTGAAAGGAGCAGAGTAGTCAGGAAGCTACTGACAGACCACTGATTACTTAAAGCAAATACATTAACAATGTATTGTGAAGCTTACAACATATGAAGAAGTATAAAATGTATGACAATAGCTCAGAGGATGGAAAAGTAAAAGGAATTATAATATCGTAAGATTTTTACATTTTTTTTAAAGTGGAATAACATTAATTGGAGGCAAAGTAGGATAAATTAAGGATGAGTACTACAATCACTACATTAACCATTAAAAATAATAACAATACAAACAGGTTTAAATAAAAAGCTAAAAGAGAAAATTAAGTGGAATTTTAAGAAAGAAAATTTTTAAAAAGAAAAACTGTGATGAATTAAAAAAACAGATAGGAAGAGAGACACAAAGGAACAAAGAGCAGATGGGACAAAATGGAAAGAATTAGCAAACGGTAACATAAACCCAGTCAGTAATGACATTAAATATAAATGTACTAAGCCAAGTAAAGGACAAAGATTGTCATTCTGGATAAAAAACAAGACCCAACTATATGCTCTTTACAAGAGACACACTTTAAAAATAACAACACTGACAAATTCAAAGAAAATGGAAAGAAAAAGACAAATACTAATTAAACAAACAAACAAAAAAAGCCAGGACAGCTATATTAATATCAGAAGACTTCAAGACAAATTATTCCCAGAGCCCAGAGATAAAGAGGGATATTTTATAATGTTAAAAGGACGTTGCATAATAGACAAAACAATCCTATTGATAAAATGTCTGCACCCAATTAACATACTTAAAAATACATAAAGCAAAAATTAACTAAAAGGAAAAAAACAGATAAATCCACTGTCATAGGATTAACTACTCACATAGAAAAAGCAGTTACATCAATATTGAGATATACAACACATCAGAGTAGTTGCCTGTTGGTAAGAGTGGAGGGGAATAAGTAATTTAAGTAACAGGAATAAGGGGAAAAATTAAAATTGAATTAAACAAAATGAAGTCTTACATAAACTGATGATAGGATTCCATATATTAAAGGTATGTGTACCTCAATTCTCTAGACATTAGATGAAAAGGGAAAATTAAGTAACAAATTTATTGGAAAATCCTAGTATTACAAATTTTTTTCTTACCAGCATCACTGTTAAATTCATAATTCTTCCAAGGTTATCAACATAGTAGACACTGTCTTGATACCATGAATCACAGTGTAGGTAATTATACATTCCAAAAGCATGCATGTGTTCCAGTGTATACTGATCATCTCGAAGTTTTACTTCTGCCACAGCTGAAATATAAGAAAAATAAACAAACATCAAGAGTTCTGCCTCAGATTGTTCTTTTCTGCAGAATGCCAACAAGGCAAAAAAATCACAGAATACTAATTACCAAGGCCTCAGGACAACTCACTACATTTTTCATTTCAAAAACAATTTCTGGGCCCCTACTAGGCACTGTGTGCAGAGGATAAACAGTGAGTAAAACTGACAAGGCCCCTGCCCTTACAGAACTCAGAATACAGTGGCCAGAGGAGATAGAGCTCTTCATACCACACTCTTTTCTTTTAGGTACCTCTTCCTTGTAATTATAAATAAAAAGAACAGAGAAATCATAAAATTGAAAGATTTCCTGTTTTCTGGGCAAATATTAAGTACACTTTATAAAGTGTGTGCTTTTTAAAATGCTCTACCTCTATCACCTCGTTCATTTTTTACCACACATTAAGAAATAAAGAGAATGTTTTTATTATCCCATAAAATAATTATGGAAATAAATGTAAGTGCAAATGGTGACTTCTCTAATGCTATACTACATCTTTCCCAAGAGTACAGAACAAAACAGTGATCATATCTGGAACAGAAACAAGGTTTCTTATTTAAAGAACAGTGTTTTTTCCACTAGGGCACTGGAAGCTTCCATAACTTTATTTTACCTTGTTCTAGCTTTATTGAGATGTAGTTGGCATATGACATTGTATAAGTTTAAGGTACACAACATAATGATTTGATATATGTATTTATTGTGAAATGATTATCAAAATAAGTTTACTTAACACAGACATCACCTCATAGTTACAACTGTTCTTCTAGTTATAAGAACTTTTAAGATCTACTCTCTTAGCTGCTTCCATAATTTTATGTTTCCTTTTTATTTATTTATTTGCTTATTTATTTTATATTTGGCTGCATTGGGTCTTCGTTGCTGCGCACGGGCTTTCTCTAGTTGTGGTGAGTGGGGGCTACTCTTCGTGGCGGTGCATGGGCTTCTCACTGCGGTGGCTTCTCTTGTTGCAGAGCACAGGCTCTAGGCGCGCAGGCCTCAGTAGTTGTGGCATGCGGGCTCAGTAGTTGTGGCGCACGGGCTTAGTAGTCGTGGCGCACGGGCTTAGTTGCTCCGTGGCATGTGGGATCTTCCTGGACCAGGGCTCAAACCCTGGCAGATTCTTAACCACTGCGCCACCAGGGAAGTCCTGCTTCCATAATTTTAAATCTGCCAAGCCTGATCTCTGCCTCCCACTCCTCCTTCCCTTCTATGTAGAGAGAAACTTATAGTTCAGGGCTACCAGTGACCTAGAATTAATTTCTGCTCCAACAGGAGATACATAAGTAGACTATGCTGGGCCAATATTTTACCTTAATTATGAAGCTCACCTTACTGTATTCTGATTGCAAGTATTTTCATCTTTTTTCCCCAAATGCTCACCTGTTCGTACTTCTATTACCTGCCTTGAGGCCTGGCTGACTTACATTTATTCATTCATTTATTTAGCAAATATTTTAATAGGCACAAATGATACAATGATGAGAAAAGAGCACAGAATCTACCTTCTTAACACTTATGATCCAGTGGGGAAATGGACGTTAGTCAAATAAATAAATATATAATTAAACTGTAATAAATGTTATAAAGGAAAATTATTGGATACTGTGAGAACAAATAACACTGGAAGCTGATCTACTTGGGGAGATTAAAGAAGGCTTTAAAAAATTTGAGCCAAGGTACAAAGGACAAGGTAGAGTTAACTTAAGAAACATCCCTACACACACACACACACACACACACACACACACACACACACACACACA